CCACGCGTTTTGGTATTACACAATGTGTAATAAAGCTATATGTTTATTAAACGGGTGATCTCTTCACGGGCAAGTAATAAACCTAGATACATAACAGGGGTGAAGGGGAATTCAAACCCACGCGTTTTGGTATTACACAATGTGTAATAAAGCTATATGTTTATTAAACGGGTGATCTCTTCACGGGCAAGTAATAAACCTAGATACATAACAGGGGTGAAGGGGAATTCAAACCCACGCGTTTTGGTATTACACAATGTGTAATAAAGCTATATGTTTATTAAACAGGTGATCTCTTCACGGGCAAGTAATAAACCTAGATACATAACAGGGGTGAAGGGGAATTCAAACCCACGCGTTTTGGTATTACACAATGTGTAATAAAGCTATATGTTTATTAAACAGGTGATCTCTTCACGGGCAAGTAATTAACCTAGATACATAACAGGGGTGAAGGGGAATTCAAACCCACGCGTTTTGGTATTACACAATGTGTAATAAAGCTATATGTTTATTAAACAGGTGATCTCTTCACGGGCAAGTAATAAACCTAGATACATTACAGGGGTGAAGGGGAATTCAAACCCACGCGTTTTGGTATAACACAATGTGTAATAAAGCTATATGTTTATTAAACGGGTGATCTCTTCACGGGCAAGTAATAAACCTAGATACATAACAGGGGTGAAGGGGAATTCAAACCCACGCGTTTTGGTATTACACAATGTGTAATACAGCTATATGTTTATTAAACGGGTGATCTCTTCACGGGCAAGTAATAAACCTAGATACATAACAGGGGTGAAGGGGAATTCAAACCCACGCGTTTTGGTATTACACAATGTGTAATACAGCTATATGTTTATTAAACGGGTGATCTCTTCACGGGCAAGTATTAAACCTAGATACATAACAGGGGTGAAGGGGAATTCAAACCCACGCGTTTTGGTATTACACAATGTGTAATAAAGCTATATGTTTATTAAACGGGTGATCTCTTCACGGGCAAGTAATAAACCTAGATACATAACAGGGGTGAAGGGGAATTCAAACCCACGCGTTTTGGTATTACACAATGTGTAATAAAGCTATATGTTTATTAAACGGGTGATCTCTTCACGGGCAAGTAATAAACCTAGATACATAACAGGGGTGAAGGGGAATTCAAACCCACGCGTTTTGGTATTACACAATGTGTAATAAAGCTATATGTTTATTAAACGGGTGATCTCTTCACGGGCAAGTAATAAACCTAGATACATAACAGGGGTGAAGGGGAATTCAAACCCACGCGTTTTGGTATTACACAATGTGTAATAAAGCTATATGTTTATTAAACAGGTGATCTCTTCACGGGCAAGTAATTAACCTAGATACATAACAGGGGTGAAGGGGAATTCAAACCCACGCGTTTTGGTATTACACAATGTGTAATAAAGCTATATGTTTATTAAACAGGTGATCTCTTCACGGGCAAGTAATAAACCTAGATACATTACAGGGGTGAAGGGGAATTCAAACCCACGCGTTTTGGTATTACACAATGTGTAATAAAGCTATATGTTTATTAAACGGGTGATCTCTTCACGGGCAAGTAATAAACCTAGATACATAACAGGGGTGAAGGGGAATTCAAACCCACGCGTTTTGGTATTACACAATGTGTAATAAAGCTATATGTTTATTAAACGGGTGATCTCTTCACGGGCAAGTAATAAACCTAGATACATAACAGGGGTGAAGGGGAATTCAAACCCATGCGTTTTGGTATTACACAATGTGTAATAAAGCTGTATGTTTATTAAACGGGTGATCTCTTCACAGGCAAGTAATAAACCTAGATACATAACAGGGGTGAAGGGGAATTCAAACCCACGCGTTTTGGTATTACACAATGTGTAATAAAGCTATATGTTTATTAAACGGGTGATCTCTTCACGGGCAAGTAATAAACCTAGATACATAACAGGGGTGAAGGGGAATTCAAACCCACGCGTTTTGGTATTACACAATGTGTAATAAAGCTATATGTTTATTAAACGGGTGATCTCTTCACGGGCAAGTAATAAACCTAGATACATAACAGGGGTGAAGGGGAATTCAAACCCACGCGTTTTGGTATTACACAATGTGTAATAAAGCTGTATGTTTATTAAACGGGTGATCTCTTCACGGGCAAGTAATAAACCTAGATACATAACAGGGGTGAAGGGGAATTCAAACCCACGCGTTTTGGTATAACACAATGTGTAATAAAGCTGTATGTTTATTAAACGGGTGATCTCTTCACGGGCAAGTAATAAACCTAGATACATAACAGGGGTGAAGGGGAATTCAAACCCACGCGTTTTGGTATAACACAATGTGTAATAAAGCTATATGTTTATTAAACGGGTGATCTCTTCACAGGCAAGTAATAAACCTAGATACATAACAGGGGTGAAGGGGAATTCAAACCCACGCGTTTTGGTATTACACAATGTGTAATACAGCTATATGTTTATTAAACGGGTGATCTCTTCACGGGCAAGTAATAAACCTAGATACATAACAGGGGTGAAGGGGAATTCAAACCCACACGTTTTGGTATTACACAATGTGTAATACAGCTATATGTTTATTAAACGGGTGATCTCTTCACGGGCAAGTATTAAACCTAGATACATAACAGGGGTGAAGGGGAATTCAAACCCACGCGTTTTGGTATTACACAATGTGTAATAAAGCTATATGTTTATTAAACGGGTGATCTCTTCATGGGCAAGTAATAAACCTAGATACATAACAGGGGTGAAGGGGAATTCAAACCCACGCGTTTTGGTATTACACAATGTGTAATAAAGCTATATGTTTATTAAACGGGTGATCTCTTCACGGGCAAGTAATAAACCTAGATACATAACAGGGGTGAAGGGGAATTCAAACCCACGCGTTTTGGTATTACACAATGTGTAATAAAGCTATATGTTTATTAAACAGGTGATCTCTTCACGGGCAAGTAATTAACCTAGATACATAACAGGGGTGAAGGGGAATTCAAACCCACGCGTTTTGGTATTACACAATGTGTAATAAAGCTATATGTTTATTAAACGGGTGATCTCTTCACGGGCAAGTAATAAACCTAGATACATAACAGGGGTGAAGGGGAATTCAAACCCACGCGTTTTGGTATTACACAATGTGTAATAAAGCTATATGTTTATTAAACGGGTGATCTCTTCACGGGCAAGTAATAAACCTAGATACATAACAGGGGTGAAGGGGAATTCAAACCCACGCGTTTTGGTATTACACAATGTGTAATAAAGCTATATGTTTATTAAACGGGTGATCTCTTCACGGGCAAGTAATAAACCTAGATACATAACAGGGGTGAAGGGGAATTCAAACCCACGCGTTTTGGTATTACACAATGTGTAATAAAGCTATATGTTTATTAAACAGGTGATCTCTTCACGGGCAAGTAATTAACCTAGATACATAACAGGGGTGAAGGGGAATTCAAACCCACGCGTTTTGGTATTACACAATGTGTAATAAAGCTATATGTTTATTAAACAGGTGATCTCTTCACGGGCAAGTAATAAACCTAGATACATTACAGGGGTGAAGGGGAATTCAAACCCACGCGTTTTGGTATAACACAATGTGTAATAAAGCTATATGTTTATTAAACGGGTGATCTCTTCACGGGCAAGTAATAAACCTAGATACATAACAGGGGTGAAGGGGAATTCAAACCCACGCGTTTTGGTATTACACAATGTGTAATACAGCTATATGTTTATTAAACGGGTGATCTCTTCACGGGCAAGTAATAAACCTAGATACATAACAGGGGTGAAGGGGAATTCAAACCCACGCGTTTTGGTATTACACAATGTGTAATACAGCTATATGTTTATTAAACGGGTGATCTCTTCACGGGCAAGTATTAAACCTAGATACATAACAGGGGTGAAGGGGAATTCAAACCCACGCGTTTTGGTATTACACAATGTGTAATAAAGCTATATGTTTATTAAACGGGTGATCTCTTCACGGGCAAGTAATAAACCTAGATACATAACAGGGGTGAAGGGGAATTCAAACCCACGCGTTTTGGTATTACACAATGTGTAATAAAGCTATATGTTTATTAAACGGGTGATCTCTTCACGGGCAAGTAATTAACCTAGATACATAACAGGGGTGAAGGGGAATTCAAACCCACGCGTTTTGGTATTACACAATGTGTAATAAAGCTGTATGTTTATTAAACGGGTGATCTTTTCACGGGCAAGTAATAAACCTAGATACATAACAGGGGTGAAGGGGAATTCAAACCCACGCGTTTTGGTATTACACAATGTGTAATAAAGCTATATGTTTATTAAACGGGTGATCTCTTCACGGGCAAGTAATAAACCTAGATACATAACAGGGGTGAAGGGGAATTCAAACCCACAATCACAGGTTTCTGGCATGTCCATTGGACGCAACGCTGCACATGTAAATGCAGCGACTTCCACGAATGGGCCATTCATGCCCATGTACATAAAGGAAACCAATGTAAGATTGCCACCTGGCAAAAGCATTGAATATAGTGAGTGGACTTCAGAAACTGTATTTCATACAAAGCACAAGGCCTCCAGCGTGTTAATGAATGGTGCTGGTAAACTTCAACAAACCAGACTGTTTAACTGCAGCCTCCACTCACTCACAAGTCAAAACATAATTTTGAGTTTCTTAGTGCGAAAGCTTTCTCAAGTACGGTAATACACACGTCTTAATATTTAACACATCTTTTTGGTTTCTATTGGCCATGACAATGACAGGTCACGAAAAAGTCAACTAAATTCAATGTCACAGTGAGTTAAAAATCAATTGTAAATTACCACTTTCTGATGCTCTGTTAACAAGGTTAATTTACGTGATTTAATTAATTTACTAAATATGTTTTGTTCGGGGCACATTATGAGCATCATACTTGCTCTTGTGTAACCATGGTAACTTACCTTCCGTGAAGAAAACATGCGCAAGAGCGTACTGTGTCGAGTGGACATTCTGGAAGTCTTGTATCAGACCCTTCACCGACTGAGGATTAAAATACAAAGTCTCATGTAATTGGGGTTTTTTAGAGAGAAAAAGATGCTACAATTCTGCAACAACAGTTTCATTTCAAATCAACTTGACCAGTTCTGCATGAAACACTTACAAATCACAAATACGCAGGGATATTAATATTTCACAAATATTCGGAAACATCTTCAAAGTCTACATTTCAAAATTCTGCAGGTATTAACTGTGTTAGTTGTGTATGGGAAAATTAATTACAAGCTGATTCAAAATACACCCAAACTAACCTTTTCTGTTGGGGTTATAAGGTATATAGCCTCCAAATTCGGCAATGGTTCTCGTCGTTTGTTGATATCTTCAACCACTGTAAAGGAGAACCAGAAACAATTACATCATATTTCCAGACAGTGGAGGTGTAACGACATGGTGGCGTCATGATACGATACGTAACCTGATACTATGGCTGCGATATGATTCGTATCCCGTTACAGTACTTTTATTTCAGAAGTCTTTTTGTGTTATGTAAGCATTTTTTGTCTAAATCAATGCATTGTATCGTGTATCACATATCGGGATACAATACTGTATCGATGTATTGTTAAACCACTACCAGATAGCTACAGACTGTCATTGAATATATTCTATATAGACATTGTATTACCATGATACTACTATAAATATACCATAGAACAAATCCACATCAAATAGCATGTGTCATTCAGTAATTGTATTGACCCTAGAAGAATTGGTCTTCAGCAACCCAGGTTTGCTGTAAAAGGCAACTATGCCTGTTGTAAGAGACGACCAACGGGATCGGGTGGTCAGATTCGCTGACTTGGTTGATGCATGTCATCATATCCCAATTGCATAGATCGATGCTCATGCTGTCAGTCACTGGATTGTTTGGTCCAGACTTGATTATTTACAGAGCGCTGTCATATAGCTGGAAAATTGCTGAGTGTGGCGTTTAACAACAAAAAGTAATTTATCAACTTGTGCTAAGTGAATCTGATGTAGGTCTAGGCCAGAGTTTGAAATTCCTGCTCTCCCGCAACAGGCAATGTTAATCATTGACCAGCATATTTTCATGCTCTCCTATTTTTTAGGCAGAAGTATGTAAAGACAATAAAACAAAAATACCTAAAACAGTATGTGTGACAGAATTATTCATGTTAATAATTAATATAAAACTTTAGGTGTTGATCAAACAAACTGCTCATCAAACAAACATATCTGCTCATCAAACATGCATAATCTGCTCATCAAACATGCATATCTGCTCATCAAACATGCATATCTGCTCATCAAACATGCCTATCTGCACATCAAACATATATATCTGCTCATCAAACATGCATATCTGCTCATCAAACATGCATATCTGCTCATCAAACATATATATCTGGCCATCAAATATATATATCTGGTCATCAAACATACATATCTGGTATAAAAGGTCAAAACTCAATTTAACCAATTTGCATCGCAAATTTCCACATACATGTTATGCCACTGGACATGATCTCGGTCATGTTGAGACATGCTGAGATCATGCGCATACTCAGCTGGTCCACAACCAGCACCTTCCAGTCCGATCCTGTCTTCTTCACAGACAGGATCACATCATTGAGTATCTCTGAAAATGGAGCAGAAAAGAGAGTTACCATGGATACATGACATCACTTTAATTCAAGGTTCATTAGCATTTTGGAGATACACGACCAATAAACCAATAGCCTTGATATATCAACTTGTGTGTCAGTGGCTGTTATGGTAAAATGCAAACAATGAATTATTCAGTGTTATTAGGTATTACATTGCAGTAACTATTATAACAGGTGAGGTGGAATAGGGTGTGACCTCACGTTCAAAATATTTGAACTTCTATCATTGTCTATAGCAACATGCGTGTGTATCTGCTTGATCTAGTCCGGACTAATATGCTTTTATAGTGCTAGCCCAATGAGCTGAGACAGCATGCCGTAGTTAAACATGAATATCCCACTCAGACACAGTATCCTGACTCTGAGTTGATCAGTTCTTGATTTATACCCTGAATCACGAGAGCCAGGCTGGGTAACAAGAAGTACCTTATTTTCATGTCTTTTCATCTGACACCGCCAGGGATCAAACCACCAACTTTTCGCTCTCCAGGCAGACACTCTATGTACTAAACCACAGAGGCTGTCATCAATATATCATGGTCGCCATTAACTATTCTGGACAAGACACACTAAGGGTTCATAGTATAAGCAATATGTACTTTTCTGTATCAGGATTTTGAGTAATTAAACTAAATATATTCAGCTATTTCCAAGGTTCATTGCAGACATGTAAATGAACACAAAAAATAATTCATCAAGTCTCTTACCAGGTCCGGACGCAATGCCAGATTTCAACATGTTCAATCAATGCTGCACTCAGATTACCTGGTCATGCTGGTGTTTAGAGGTTTATTTGACAAGTGCGAAAAGAACGGTAACTCTCCTTAAAGGGGTGTAAGTCTTTATTCGCACCATTGCCTTGAGTTTTCAGTGATGCCTTCAAATTACAAGGTAAGTTAATATCCAGGGTTAGAAATTGGCACTAGTCCTGTAGTCCTTGCCAATCTGCCCAATAGTTAATGTATAAGGACTAGGAGATATTTGCCATTTTTAAGGGTTTTTCTTTATGTTATCATTATAAGGACTAGTGGACCAAAAATGTTTCTACCACTGATATCATACTCAAATCACTGTACACCTTGTAATCACAAGGCAAGTAACCCATGGTGTTTTTTCAAAGTGGCGACACTATTACGAGCGCCAGAAAACTTTCAGACACATTTTCTCTTTTAAGAGCAAAAAACTTCAAAAGTGCAAAGTTGCAAAGTGTATTACATTCATCCCTAATGTTATTTCCTGCGTTAAAACTTCTCCCATTTCAAAAATGGATTGTACATCGAAGTTTGAATACAGCATCTGGTGGCCTGATGCTTTAGTGAGGTAATGATTTCATTGGTTTATCTGGATTCTCAGATATCATATCGCGATGATTTGTAAACTGAATGTCCTGAAAACAAAACTTTGGGGTATTTTTTAGATATACAAGGTAGTATGTGATGATTGTGTTCCAAGCCTATCGAAATGATACAAGAGGGTAGTGGTCAATATGATAACCGCCCAGTAATTTGAGTGCAGTTTTGCGTCCAGACCTGTTTATGGGCAATAAAGCGCCTATTAAACATTCTCATGTCATTATCATCATCCCTGATCATATCAATCTTTATTATGTTTACCTGCAAATACTTTGCATGATAATGAGCAGCATTAGAAATTGTCACTTGTCCAATAGTCCTTGCCAATCTACCCAATAGTTAAGGTATCCTTAGGGCTAGTAGAAATTTGTCTTTTTCAATGGTTTTGCTATATGTTATCATTATCAGCTGATTATAAGGGTGAGTGAGTTAGCATGGTTTTACGCCACTTTTAGCAATATTCCAGCAATATCACAGCGGGACACAAGAAATGGGCTTCACACATTGTACCCATGTTGGGAATCAAACCCAGGTCTTCGGCATGGCGCTATAACCACTAAACTACCTGACTGCCCCGCTGATTATATGGACTAGTGGGCTAAAACTGTTTCTACCGCTGATAACATATATTTTATTTATGCAAAAGGCATTACACAGATCATGCTGATTGGGATTATTTATTGACAACATCAATAATGCAATATTACATCAATGCCATAATACTCTATCAATCCATACCACTGTTCATTATTAGGGATTTGTTGTGGCACAAAAAATTGTATAAACCTGTTTCATGAACATGATGAAGCGTTCATCTTTCTTAAATGTACAACGCAATTCCTGATCGCCTAAACAAAGACGCATATAGATAGATTGTATATACGTCTTTGGCCTAACCAACAAACACATCACGATGCCATATCCTTGTTTTCCTTATGACCTAGAAATCATACGATCGCATGTTAATTTTCTGTCAAAAAATCAGTAACCAGAAGTGGTCGAATTATTTCCAATGGATCATCTAATTTGTATGACAGGCAGTGATTTATTCGACATATTGTTAAAAACGTATATTCATTTACTCAATCTGTTCTACGAATGGAGTTCTTTCGACCAATGTCAAATACAGTGTCAATATGTTAATGTACTGCATATTTATGATCCACAGTGACAGCAAATCAGATCAAAAATATTTTAGTCTGAGACTGTAAACACGGATTTTCAAAGATGCTTTGTACAATGTAGTAATGGGGAAATCTGAATATACAGTTTCACATTTGATTAACTGAACTGCCACGATATATAGACATTATCATATTTCTTACTGTCGTGAACTGCCCTCTTCAACGCCATCTTGGATGAGTAACCCTATGAAGCTCCTCGCAGCGTTTTCCTGCGCGTGCAAATCTATAACGGTTTCGGTTATCCTTGTCTGGAGCCTAATGCAAGTGCTCGCTGGGAAAGAAATATTCAAATTAAAACCAAACTTAAATGTATCGAATATAATGCTTTTTATTTCAAAACGATTCCATAATATGTTCTATGATTTTTGTCAAAATATTTCTATTTTGTTTCGAGGTGATGAATATTTCCATAAATGGGAACGGAATACATAATGCGAAACGAAATATATTTCCGGCTAAACTTATTTCACGAGGTATTAAAATGTGGCCAAAATCATTTTGTGTATAAGCGTGTATAAATTTTATTTACGTGGCACTTGTGGCTCTAATGCGCAGAAAATAATTTGATACATATTTGAAAGGAATATTCAATAAGCTGTTTACATATTTTACGAGTGGATCAAACAGTGAGTGAAGCGGTAGTAAAAGGCTCACGGTCACCCCACATATCGATCACAGATTGTATCAGATTCTCGTCATTGACAGAGTAATTTTATTAGGATATGTAAAGTTCCACAAGCTTGTTGAAATGAATTTACCTAGAAGTAAGCTTCTAAAACTATCACATAAAAATGGTTGTGCATTATAATAGTGCTCATCCAACGAATGAAGAATCGTTATTCAAGTGAAAAATATAATATTAGCACGTAAGAGGTATTATTCCGACAGACAGATTGGAACGAAAACAAACAACTGAGTTGATAAGAACAAATGACAATAAAAACATATTTACCGTAAAATGCATAAAAAAGGAGGGAAATCACAGGGAGATCAAGTATATTTACATACAGTAAACTACGGTTATAACGAACACGCTTATAACGAACTGACCGATATAACGAACTTATTTTTTAGTCCCGGCCATTTGTTGTATATATGCTGCATATATGCTTATAACGAACTACGGTTATAACGAACGAAAATTAGTGGTCCCTTTGAGTTCGTTATAACCGTAGTTTACTGTATATAGAATTTGCATATGGGGTCTGACCTGTTTGAAAGACATGCAGACATCATTATAGGATTCAACCTTTCGACAGTCATTCATCAGGCAATTCCAGACTCTGTAAACCTGACATGTAAATGAATTGACCCGAATATAGATGAGTTTTATCCCTGGGTACCTCCACTGTAACTCCATGTGGGGGTGGGGGAGTAGTTCGACTGCATACATTTATGAGATTTTGAAAGTATTGTGAACAATATTGAAAATGAAATGTGTCATATTCTTTAAACGATTTACATGGAGATAGTTAGTGCCAGCTGAAGACACCAGGTCTGGGAGATGACACTTATAGCCAGTATACACAAATCTTAGGGCTGCTTAGTATTTTGTCATATATACTTTTTAGTGCTGGACTTGGTAAAAAAAATGGCAATTAAGGGGATAGTGAATGGGGTTTAACGTTGCGTCAAAGAGTATATACACACGTGTGTGTGTGTGTGTGTGTGTGTGTGTGTGTGTGTGTACTAGTAGTCCGGACTAAAGCCGATTTTATAGTGCTTTCCCACAGAGACACAGTATACTGACTCTAAGCCGATCAGTCCTCTTAATATCGAGCAACAGGCAGGGTAACAATAAGTACCATTTTTAACGTCATTTGGTAAGACGCGGCCGGGATTCGAACCCGGACCTTCCGCTTTTCCATGCAGACGCTCTACCACTAGACCACGGAAGCGGTCGCCTGTGTAATCAAAGCTAGGTCAGACAAATCAGTGACTAAAAGCAAGCACAACGATTGACGCCTTTGGTCTCTGATGACACATTCTGCTTGATTAAGACTGACATTTAATCCAGAAATAAAGTTACCTTATTTGAAAAGATATATATCTACAAAATTAAAAATAAAACCCAAATGGAGCCCTGAACTATGCTTAAAATGTAGGCAATAAAGACTTTCCAAATCATTCCAGATTTTAGTTGTTTTCTGTTTTTTATTTTTCTCTAGGGTCTGGGAGAAAGGCTAGGCTAGGCTACATAATAACCCTTCAATCACTATCCTAGTCGGCTCTAAACCCCTTGAACACTCGGGTTAGAATTGGTCTCCAGGAACCTATGCTTATCGCAAGACTCGACCAACAGGATTTGGCGGTCAGGCTCGCTGACTTGGTTGATGCATGTCATCGTATCCCAACTGCGTAGTTTATGACTCATTTGCATATGCATCAACTTGTTTTCGTCGCTATAGTATGGCTGAAATAATGCCAATTGGACGTTAACGTTTATAACTCACTCACCCTATTGCGTAGGTCGGTGCTCACGATGGCGGCCCGGTCCAGACTCGACCATTTACAGATTGCCGTCACATAGCTGAATGCGGCGTTAAACAACAAACACACAAACAAACAAATGTAGCGATAAGCATAAAGAACCTATCTCTACGGATAAAGGGGCACGGGTGGGCCCAGTCGTCTAAGGCGCCGCGAATCGCTGTGCAGAGTTTGGCACGCCAGAAACCTATATGATTGTGGGTTCGAATCCCGGTTCGCACCGATAATGTTTCTAGGTTTGTCAGCACCATACCCGTGCTCGTGGGTTTCACCGAAGTGGTAAACGTCTGAGACCTGCATCACTTCGGACTTTCCTCCCACATTAAGCTGACACGCCGTGATATAACTGGAATACTGTTAAAAGCGGCGTTAAACCAAACTCACTCACTGACTCATCTCGACGGGTAGCGAGTACCGCCCAGGTGATCTTCCAGTCTATGGCTCCATTTACAATACTGTTATACTTGATTCAATTCGGCGCTGTTCCCACAACCGGTAAATGACTGTATACCATTGATCTGAAATTGAAAGTTTGAATGGTTGCACAGCGTAAGTAGTAGGTACTTATGCATTTTCATAGTGTGGTGGTGTCTATGTACGAACTCAGTAATGCGCATGTACTATATACAGTGTGTTATTGGTGTAAGGAGCTTATCTGTGAGCATAACAACAATTAGGTCATATAAGTTCATTGCGTGTCGTACCTCACCTGCTTTGATCGATGCTCACTATATCAATCACTTGATTGTCTAGTCCAGATTCGATTATTTACAGACCACCGCCATATAGCTTGAATATTGCTGTGTTAAACAACAAACAAACAAGTTAGACACCCTGGTCAATATACATAATGTTATCGTGTATCAGCACCGATACCTATATAAACTGGACGTCAAATAGCACAGATAATTGTCATTATCACTATGCGAAATATAATCAAGCTATCTGATTGTCTAGTCGCCATCTTGTAAAAACAAAACAAAACTTTTCCATAATTATACGCTATCTTCGTTGGAAGCAAGTGTTTATGAGTCATTATCAATTAGTAATGATACCAGGTGTTGGCGGAAAGGTAAGCGTATACTGCCTCATTGGTGGCGCTGTTGGAATATCACTCGACAGATATTGAGTGACCTGTGTCTAGGCTAACGCCGCTTTGAACACTATTACAGTTATATCACGGCGTGCGAGGTTAACGTTGGAGGAAAACCCGAAGTGGTGCAAATCTCAGACATTTACCACTTTGGTGACACCCACAAGCATGGATATGGTGCTGACAAATCTAGAAACACAATCGGGACGAACCGGGATTCGAACCTACATTCATCACAGGTTCTTGGGAAAGCTATTGGAAAGTTAAAGTGGGTAAAATAGGTGGAAATGAATCGGTTATTTGAACATTATTGAGCGATATCAGATACTTCTTGGACACATAGTTTTGATTTTGTCAATCCGAGCAGAAATTCCGATTCACATGCATAAAAAAACCAGATAAGTATTGATGTCCATGGTGATGCCTTCTCTTGCTGTTTTTTACTTGCTTTACGGATTTTATACAGATAAATACTTGCCGGTAGGTATAGAAAAATTTAAAAATATGCAATTTATTACTTTGGTTATTTTTCTGCTGGCATAAAACAAATAAAAAAGGTTAAATGTGTGAAGAGAGCCTGCATCACAGCTGTTGCTTTGATTCACGTGTTTAATACACACACACACACACACACACACACACACACACACACACATATATATATATATATATATATATATATATATATATATATATATATATATATATATATATATATATATATATACAAAAATGAGGTAAATGTTCACTCGGTGTACATGTAATATATAATAAAATAATAAAGTGTGTGTGTGGTGTGTGTGTGTGTGTGAGCTGCAGTGGGTCCTTGTTTAAAACGTATATTTGGGTGCAGTATGCCATCAGCTTATCGGTGGGATAAAAAAAGAGAGAGCATATTCTACACTCCCTGTTTACCGAAACAAAATTTACAATCGGTTGATCCACAAAGCAAGTGAAAAAAGTGTGCATGAACGTTCGTGTACACCCCCGACCTTCGGTCTCACGGTATACACGTCCAATCTACTCGTAATACCCCGTAGACCCCTCTATTTACGTATATTTATAAGTGCAATAATCGTGAACGCGATGCTAAACCTCATTTCACCCCACCTCCATTGACACTTGCAACTTTCATTAAGCGTCATAAAATCTAGGTATGCGTTGTATACTGGCGCGTCACCATCTTGTAAAAAACGTACAACTGTTTGTTGCCCAGTCGGGTTGCAATAACACACAATCAACAAAGTCACCGAACCTGACCATCCGATACACTGAGTCGCCGCGAATGTGTTCTGTCTTTCTTAATTTGTTAAAAGGCAACGACAGCATCGAAGCCATAATGAAAAAAGCCGCCATATTAAATGTTGAAATTGTTATAATTTTGGGTTTGGGGCATGCATTTTTACCTTATAAGAGTACGACCAGCATAGGTTGCTGAAGATGAATTTTAACCTGGAATCTCTTGTGATGAAAATCATGAGATGAAATATATTTTTGGCGTTTTTTATTTTATTTCATTGTGCGTTACGTTAATTAACATGCATCTATTAAAAAAAAGATTGTTTTGAAAATACTGACAGTTAATTTTACTTCCTGTTTAGTTTTTAAACCTCCCGGGTGTATCTTTTAAATTACCAAATACAGTTCTACCATTTCGCAAGCCAACACCCACGACTTCTGCTCTGCAG